TTCAGCCCCCGAGAAATATAAAAGAGGCGTTTTCCAGCTGCGCTTCTCATTGTTTAACTGAGCCAGTATTTCGGTACTACCCACAGAAAAATCAACGTCCCCTGCTTCTTCTACGCTCATTCAAGAGTCAGATCGCAAGTGTCGAGGAGGAGGCACGAAAGGCAGCTAAAGAGCGCGATTCGATACGGTCGCGTATGCTCCAGGTATAGATTGTGCATTTTCTTGCTCTTCGTTTCGAATCGCCATATGAACTGTTGTAATTCAGTTCATTATGTACTTCGCATGGCAGTTGATCAGCAATTCGAATATACACTAATTGGCTCACTCTGTCACTTGCTCACTTAATTTGTCCGCCGCGGCGAATTTGCTCACTGAATCACCTTATATCAGATATCAGATTTTAATCAAAAGTAACAAGCTTAATAAAAAACACGTTTTCCTGCAGAATATGTGCAGACTAGGCAAAAGAGGCAATATATTACATGAAGAATGGTAACATTATTATAATGTCAGATGCAGTTAACTCATGTGCGAATAGGTTGACCGTTTAGCGGGACTATTAAGAATCCGGGTCATACGAGAGGCTGCAGATTTCCAGTAAGCTTCAGTTCTGACCAGCAGCCAGCGAACATTTACCGGGTAGGTATTAATTCAGACCGGTATTGAACGAGTTCACGCTATAGCGGATATTCAGTGTTCTTCATCACTTTCTGCAAATTTGATTGTCGTAGTTTGCACGTCTTTGTTGATAGTCTGCATTCTTTTCTTGTAGTATATCTTTTGCCTTGGCACTCCCTAATTCGGCGTTGTAAGATGATGAAGACACTAATGGCGATGCTCTAAAAATGTAATTAACACGAAGGTGATGGAAATGATGCAAAATGCATAAATTTTGACTACATTTCCTCAACGGTTGCCAGTTGAAGACGAAACAAGAAATGTGAAGTGTTTCTGACCTTAATTACTATGTTATTTACGCGGTCGCTCCGAGTCAGTTTAGCCACCAAAATATGTTCGTTCATTGTATTATTTTGAATGGCACAACACTCGTCCAAGGCCAGATTTCACGACGTTTTGCACTGACCCCTTACTCCTAATTGCCTATGGGCGCAATTTAAGACATTACGCTGCGAAACCTGGCTATGAAGAGTTTATGCGTCATTTTACATGCTGCGGCGTATGATCGTACTTTTATGGTAATGCGGTTGCATATAAGGAATACAAGCTCCTGAAACATCGTTCGTGATGAATGTGAGGTGGCAATGCGAATAAAATGATGCAAGATACATCTGGTACTGCAGGTAGTTAAATGCCATAGAGCCGTGGCCAGTTTAAATGCCGCCCCCTTCAGGTATCTAGGAGCAAGAGGACGATGTCATACGCCATGAAGCCTGGCCTTACAAAAGTTATGCACTGTTCAAGTCAGTTTTTTGTTCAGCGTCACTCCCAAGTGGTGAATTGCTTCCACGCTGTCGGTTTCTTCGTATTTTACGGTGGGTGCTTGGTTCAGTTAGAGCAATTAGTATGATGTAAGAATACAACCTATGGAATGCATGTAAAATGTCTTTGTTTTTGCTGTAATAATTTTCCATCATTCTTTTGATTCTTTAATGGTAGGAAATGCATCTTGCTGTCTTTCGAATGAGTAGCACTCGTACCAAACTACGGGCTTCTGGCGAAAGATTTGCGTTTATGTTCGAATCTGTTATTATGTCGCTGGCGCCAGTACTACTAAAGCGAAAGTTGTGTAAC